AACTTGTTTGTAAATGAGTGTAAGTGTAAAAAAAAGTTTGTTTTGGATGAGCAAGTATCTAAGAACTAATCTACCTACTCGAAAAAAGAATCGTTCTATGCTTGTTTCCTTTAGACAATGATATCCCACTATTAGTGAGTGGGTAGCACCGTCGTTGGAGTTTGAGGGTCAATTCGAAAGGTACGTACGGTCACTAAAGCAATGTTAGGACGTCTTAGTAATAACCATAATGTCTTAGATCATTTATCCGAGGCGACAATATCTGAGGCAACCTTTCTGAGGCAACTTGATCTTTGGACAAAAGGACGACCACTAAAACATCATATACTCAATGACCGTTTACCGAAGGCAACCAAGTGGGAGTATACCCTAAGAGTGCGCATGTGCGAGTGTTTCAGTTTCAGATTTATTTATCTTTGCATATTTAGGGTGATCTAATTGTTTTAAAATTAGTCATACATTCTTGTCATGCAAACCCTATTATCAAACATCAAACAGTTGAATATTTGCAGAAATTAAAGTGCGGAATTTAAACTAAGCTATTACAAGGCTTCAGGTATTTACATAGCCAAAAACAAACCCTTTGAAATTAAAAGCGGTAAAAATAAATAAATGTCCTAATTAAATTATTACAACCCGGAAGCAGATACAATAATTAGATGAAAATAATAATAACGTGCGCGAGAAAGTTATATCGAATGCGAAACTAGGGTTTTGACCCTTATATCCTAATTAAAAAAGAAGAAAATGTTTTTGTTGTTTTTTTAATATTTTTTTAAGAAAAGAAATTAAGTTTTAAAATTAAATACTAAATTAATTGGTTATTAAATAAATTAATGAATAATAATTAAATGACGTATTTTTGGGTTTTTTGTTATTTTAGGTAAAAAATAAATACAATTAAGTTAGTCATAAAAACCTATTGATTCTAATTAGTTTTAATTATTTGCAAAATAAATTAAGGTTACCTAAAAAATTATAACCTAATTAAATTAATTGCTTTTTTACTAAAAATAAATACCTAACATTTAATTGGACATAAAAATATTTTTGATGATTTTTTTGATAAAAAGAAAAATAAATAAATTGATGGTTAGTAAATAAATAATAAATAAATAAATGAAATAAAAGAAAATATAAAAGATGAGAGATGGGCCTGAATTGGAGGTGTGCATAGCAATTTTCCTGGGCCCATTGAGATGAGGTCCGCTTTGACTTTTATGATCCTATGCGTACGTGTTGACTATGGCTTATGGTATGCTTTCAATGGTGGCCACCAGATTTGGCCATCTAGCCATTTGGCGCATTGATGATGAAGGAGTATGGTGGATCTCCTGGCTTTGCACGCATTGGATCTCCTGAAATAATAATGAAAAATAGCAAATGCTGGAGGCAGGGATTGAACCCCTGACCTCCAGCCTCTAACGCCTTAAGAGCCTACGTGGCCACCACTACACCAATTGTTTCTATCTGTTCATAAAATACGCAATAATAATAATATATAAAACAAGCACAGTGATGAGATTTTAGCGCGCAAATTTAAACAAGCCAATGGAGGCTGGCCACGTCTTCGTCCCTGTTATGGCACCGTCGCTAAAAGTCCATTAGCCTATACCTACGGACAAATTTCCGTTGCTACAGACTGCGTGCTCTCAAAATCCTCCACAGGCCATGGAAATAACATTTAACACCATGGTTAGATTCGTCTCGTCCTCCTGATCACAACCGTACCCATTACCAAGGCCAATTGTTCCTGAAATCAAAACCCCTAAAACCAAGCTCGAAAACCTAGCAATGGTGATTAACGCTACAGGCCATATAAACGAAATTGAATAATGCAGAAAGTTTGCAAATGTTATGGTGATCAAGAATGTACAATTATTTCAACCTAACAATGCGTAAATCGTGAGTTTCGAATTCAAGAACAGGGGTGTAACGTGAAACACTTACAGAGCAATTTGGGGCTTGAACGGCTTAGTTCTTGATTGCTTTAGGTTGCTGAGAGTGCCAGGAAGCGATTGGGATTGATAACAAGCCTTGAGGATGCCTCTAACTATCAATTCGATCTCACACTTTTTGCTTTTTTTTTCAAAATTGGTTCTTGTTCTAGCGCCTCCTTCCAACCTCCTTTTAGGTCTGCACGCAGTCTATATGTATGAGTGAATGTATTAGGGTTGAAAGTTGTATCCAAACCCTTCCCCTTCAATGCTTTTGATATTTGATTTGATTCACTTTGAAAACCTTCCAAATTTGGCTTATTTCCAATCTTTTTGTGCACACAAGCCTTGATACGAATTCGAATGATGCTAGCTGGGTAATTGGAACCTGAAACAAGCACAAAATCCCTTATTATCAATGCTTTTGGATTTTTATTTGATTTAAATCAAATTAATTCAAATAAAAATCAAAATAAATAATAAAAATAAGATATGGACAAGTGGAAAAGGCTAGAGCACGTGGGCTATGTTTCCAACTTAAAACAAGTGAAAAAGATTGGGCCCATTTGGCAAATTTTGAAATTTTGGGCATAGTTGACTTTTAGCAATTTTGCAAAAAAGGTCAACTTCACCAATGCCTAACTTCCTCAATTTTGAACCTTTGGAGGTGTTCTTAGACTTTTTAGAAAGCTTGAGATGTCCTCTAATAAACCCTTTTGGTCTCATCTCAATTTGATATTCCATGATTATGTATGAATCTTTGACAAAAAAGGTGTTTTTGTTGACTTTTCAAAATGACCTATAATGTCCAAATTCATAACTTCTTGTGAGTGCATATTTTGAACTTGGGAGCTGAAAATGGATTGTAGGGAATTGCATCCTATTCAAAATGAGCTTTGGATGGGTCATTTCTCATAAAGTATGAGAAAGTTATGCTTGGTCAAAGTTGGGTTGACTTTTCCTATAAAACCCTAATTTAGCAACTTTTGAATCTTGATAAATTATGAGCAATCCTTGATGAATCATGATAAACCCTTGATCAAATGATGAAATATACTTCAAAATGAGGATGTTGAGCAAAAATCTTGAAGTTTGACTGTATGTGGGTCACAGTTGACTTTTGCCCCAGCATAGTCGATTTTTGGACCTTTGAGCAATTGACTAAGCAAACTTCCTCTGCAAGGCTTGAAACTTGTCATGGATGATCTTGAGAACATATTACGACAATGTTGAGAATTTGGGACCACTTGGACTCAAGTATCTTGATGCAACATGAAACCCTAATTTGAGGTAGACTGCCTTAGGAGAGAGCTTTGTCTGGTCAACCCTTGGGCTACTTTGAGCAACTTGAGGATCTTTCTTGCAATGTTTTGAGAAATATGGGAGGGCAAATTTTGGGGTACAACAGAGGTGTAACCCATGTTAATTGAATCTTAGAATAATTTCCCCTAGTCAATAGGATCTTTGTGTGACATGTCCCGGATTATAAGGATTTATTCCTCTAAAGCAGTAGGATGCCTGGGTGTTTTGCTCCTAATTAGGAGCTTCTTGAAATGTTGCCTTTTATCAAATAGTTCTTGAGATTTCCTTGATGCTAAGCATTGATTCACTCATAAAATTGGACATTTTGAAAAGTAATTTTAACGTGATGCACATGCAAGTTTTGAAATCGAAATTTGTTATGGAATAGAAATGGATGATTAGAAAAGAAGATGTGAAAGATAATATGGTTAGCAACAAACTAACAAACATTTGGAGTCAGTTTAACACAAATTTTGATGGGTATGCTTTCATAGTGAACCTAACTTCAATTATGATTTTTGAAGGTTGTAACGTGGTCTGGTTCACGATTTAAGAAATAAAGGATATAAGGCTCAAATTTGAAATTTAACTCACCCATTCTCGTTGATGTTCTCCATTCCTAAATTCAATCAACTCAACAGATGCATTCTGTATGTAAGAGAACTTTCGTAGACGCGATGATGAGTAGAAGCACTGATGCGATTCAAGCACTTGATGAGAAGCACTGGTAATTCTTGAGGTGGTAGTCACAAGCTTATTTTCTTCGCTTTTAATCCCTTATTTTTGCATGGACCAATTCTTTTGAATTTTTTGATTCATCAGGATGCCCTAATTTTTGTCTAAGTCAATTTTTTTAGATTTTTTTCTTTTTGACTTAACGGGTTTTTTTAAAAATAAATCTTTAGATTTTGCTTTTGATTTAGATCATTTGTGACTGTCATGTTGATCTTTGTAGGAGCTCTTCTATAAATTGTTTTATTAACATTATATCTTTCAAAGGAGGTTGGCTTTTAATCTAATCAAAAAACAAATACATTAAAACCTAAAACACCACATATTAATATAAACCAAAAAAAATTAATCTAAATAATATGTTCTAAAGGGATATAATAATAAATCCTTAATCAAACAATTATTTAAAAAAATACATTTTATTTATAAAACAGATTACAACCGAATATTAAATTCATATTTCAAGAAAATATTTAAATAGAAATGAGGTTGTAAAATTAAACTAAATTTTTTATAATAATAATTTTAAAAAGATGATTTAATATACTCTTAAATGAACAACTTTGTTAGTGAGACTAAATCTTAAAAAATGTGGATGTATACAAAACTATTTGGACATTAACACTGATTGAAAAATAAGTAGATATGACAAAAAAAATTATTTAAAATAACAAAGAGATATATTAGATTGTAAAATTAGGGGGGCAAAAAATTTGAGATATGACAATCGATAATAAATTAGAACATCAACTATTATAAACATTCATTGGTCAGGTGCATATTTCATTTGCAAAAGTATTTCTATTCACCTAGTGGAATAAAATTCTCTTTAAATAGAGACACTTAAAAAGTAAAAAGCACATAAAAAGAGAAGTATACAAAACTATTTCTCTAGCATCTCAATTATTTTAAATCATCATTCACTTCATGTACGGGTGAAGTGGAGGAAACATTTTTCTAAGAAATTACATGTGATTAGAGTTTACTGCTTTGGATACATGACAAAATTCTAAGAACTCCATCTTTCTGCTAGTCACTACAAATTTCCCTAACAACTTTAGACTTCTCAAGTATGTATTTACCTTCCTTGTACTTTTGATTTTCTTCATAGGCTTTTTCATACTTCCACCCAAGCACCTGATTGCAGTCACAACAGTAGACATCAGCAATTGTATAAAGACCTGTTATCAGTTCCTTGTCTTCTTTTGGCCCTACTCTAACATTCATTGCATGTGAAAACAGAAAACCTCTTCCATTTCTTCCCTGAAATTTACCAAATTGTAATCATCAACAAATGGTGATGTAAGAAGGATAATCTGAAATCTAAGTAGATAAAAGTAAGTGAGTATTCACCCGAAAGGCTTTTGAAATGATATCATCATGAAGGGCAACATGGTTTCTACAACTAAAGCAAAAGTACAATCTGGCTTCAATCAAATTCTCCATATCAAACGTTCAGGGAAGTGATTATGTGGATATGAAACTGCACATTTGACACCAAACGCAGATCAATACAACAATATGAAGAGAAGAAAAAAAGCAAAAAAAAATTGCAAGATTGAAATTAAAATATAGGTACCTGCCACTGTAATTATAAATGAGTGTTTTCTCACTTCTCTCACTTGAAAATTTAAACTGATTAGTGAAGTTGTTACTATTTAAATTGCGAGATTAAAGGATTTTGAACCAGGAGAATAGGTAAGATAGATATTATATGGCACATAATTAAAATAATGATTAATGTGTGTTTATTTATTTTTTACAATCACTAGATTGATTCGAGGTCTTGATATGTTATCCTACTTTGAAACTAAGCCTACTCATATCATTAGTGATTGTAATTCCTGAGATAAAGTCACTTTATGGCATATGAGATTAGATCATATTTCACTTGATAGACATTAATGAATAGTTATAAATTTGAATTTTTTACTAACGTACCACTATATTAGAAAACATATTTCAATATATCATTTAGAGAAGTACACTAAATATCAAAATATTATATTTTTAAAAAAAATTACAGGATAAGAATCTTGGACAATTGAATGGACATACTCCTTTAAAATTATTCCGCTCATTAGAAGGGCGGAGCAGTGTTTTTTTATTTTCTTTTTTAAAATAAAAGATATTTATATTACACTCTTCTCCTTATTCAATAGGTAGAGTCTATTCTTTTACAACACTTATGCCCATTCAATTGACGGATTTCTATAATTTTACACTCTTCCGCCCATTAAAGTGGCGGAAGCTCTTTAACAAAAACGACTTTTTTTGAAAAGATGGTATTTTAATATTTTTGCTGAAAAATATGGTAAAATAGTATTTTGTGTGCAAAAGAATGGTAAGACAGCACAAAATTCTATAAATTTTCTGTTTTATAAAAAAATAATAGTAATTTTTGTGATACTTGGGTTTCGTAAAACACAGAAAATCGAGAATTTAATTTGGCATCTTCAAATTAAATCTGACATTTCTCATATTTTGATAATGCAACAAAATGTTTGTGATAAAAAATGAAATATATCATCGGAACAAAATTTCTGATAAGCAATATAAAATTTTAAGTAATCACTAAAATTCTGTTTGGCAAATCATATTTTGAGCATATAGTTCATAGCTTATAAGTTCGTATGATAATAAAAGACTTGTTTAGTAACAGTCTTTTCGTTACGAGTTTATAGTTTATTTTACTAGCTTATAGCTTATTTTTTACACGTTATTTTAAATAGCGTTTTAGCTTATAGCTTATAGCTTATCATTTTTATTTCATTATTACTCTTATAAATTTTAATTATTATAAATATACACTTAATTATTAATTAAGAAATGTCTTTTCATGTCATTTTACATTTATCAGTTAGTTAAACCGTTAATTTTACCAAACACTTTAATTAGTTTATCAGCTATCAGTCATCCGCTATCAGCTATAAAATATAAGCTATCAGCCATCAGTCATCAACCATAAGCTATAAGTTATCAGCTAACTTATTACCGAACCTCTAATTTTATCAAACAAAGCCTAAGTTTTATGTAGTTTGAAGCAACCAGACAAATCATCGAAGATAAAACTCAATGAAGTCGCCATCAAACGTCTTTTATCCAACGGGAAGGGAAAGATAAACATCGAGAAAACATGAGAAGGGTGAAATCATGGTCTTGAGACCATAGAGATCGGGTAAGGAAGTTAGTTACGCGAGGGGAAGGTATTAGCACCCCATACGTCTGTGGTATTCCACAGGATCTACTTGTGTTTGTTCTAATCTAAGGGTGTGTAAAATCTATGTCTAAAGCTTAAGAGCTAAAAAGAAATGTGCAAAGGGGAATGCATGCAATAAGAAAACACAGGGAAAAGAAAGAAATATTACAAAGGTCGCTCGACTGAGCCGCCGTGACCAGATGCCTACGTATCCCTTTTAAGGAATCAGAGCGTCGCAGTTCGGCTTAATAATTTCTGTTTGTTTTGTATTTTTTAATGAACATTATTAATTTCGCCTTCTGCCGCAACTCGACCTTTAGAGACTTACGCGTCAACGTAGGAGTGAATTAACATGTTCTTTTGAAAAAATTTGAAAGAAAAGCCCTAGGGTAAAAAGAGTTTGCGTTGGTTGGTGTTTTTGTTGCGGATAATAGCTAGTTGATCTCAAGAAAGAGATATTAGTCACTTCTCCACTTGTTTATGAAAGAAAGTCTTTGAGACTTGAACCACACCAAAGCCTAGAATGGAAGAACAATAAGATCGAGAAGAAACCTGCTTATCATCTTGTATATTCAACAAAGGTATGATTCTCATCAGTAATTTTTAAATGTTTTGAGGTTTGTAAAAAAAGAAGTTTTTGTTTTAATGAGATGCAAAAGAAAAAAGAAAAGTCTAAGGGGAGACTAGAAAAATAGACCTAAAGTTGTCATGCATTATTGATCCTATAGTTGAGGATAAAACAGGGGAATATCTACCTAATATTGGCATACATGGATACAAGCCTAATGTGTATTCAATTCAAACTTAGAAAAGAATGAATTGAAGGTCCTATGGGGAGCATACGAGAGGAGAGTCTAATAAAGAAGGGAAAAGGGATGATAAAACATCACACAAAGAGATAGCAAGACATCAAGAAGCATGCATCAAATATAGATGACAGATGAAGAGTGGTATGATGATACCTAACGGAGAAGGTCTGTTGCCTCTTCTATGCGCACGAGATAATAAAGCTCTACCGAGTGCCTCCTTGATTTTCCTCCACCAACCAATGATTAAGCATCCGGGTTGCGTCAATAATCGATTGCAAAATCAAAACACGAGCGTCCACAAGATGAATGGAGTGTTAGGTGTAGGGGAGTTAAATCGGGTTATGATTAACCAAGGGGTATACTTGATTAATCTCGTGAGAGTAGTTACTCCTACCCTCAACCATGAGACCCTTTTTGTGCATGGAAATACTTGGTATAAGGACCAAAGTGGTTGATTTGGATTATGGTTAACCAATGGCTATACTTAATTAACTTCATGAGAATGGCCATGCCCAAACTCAACTATGAAACCCTTTATGATAAGCTTGATATGTGCACCAAGAGGAGGCCATGTGTTTTAATTGGATGATACATGCATACTTGAGCAAAAATTAAAATATGCGAAGAAATAAAATTCTAAGCTATTACAAACCATATGAGAATGTGGGTACAAATTTATGGATGAAAATGTATCAAATCAAAAACACGATTAAAAAGTCTAAACAATCAAACAATTCAAACTAATTGAAATATTAAATAACTAATTAAATTGAGTTATCTTATTTAATAGAATTAATTAACAAAATAATTAATTCTATTAAATATTATTATTCAACCTAATTAACTATTTAAAACAAATAAATTTTCTTGTATTATTATTTTTTATTTTTAATTGCAATATATATATATATATATATATATATATATATATATATATATATATATATATATATATATATATATATATATATATATATATATATATATATATATATATATATATATATATATATATATATATATATATATATATATATATATATATATATATATATATATATACACACTTAAAAAAACAATACAAAAAAAAAGAAATATAAAGAAAAAAAAGAACTTGGGCCTGAAAACAACAATTTTAGGGGGTGTTGAAAAGCAAATCGTGAGGCCCAATGGTGTAAGGCTCGTGCGCTGGCATAGTCTGTGTGATCCAGCGCCAGCAGCCTAAGGAGGTGTATCGTCTGGAAGCGCTTCTGGAGCGTCTGATCTGGCTAAAGGGAGATCTGATGGTGAGATAGCAAGGTGCATGGTAAGGCTGGTGAGGACGCGCCTAGGCATTTGATGGTGTGCTTCAGGAACAGTGCACCATAGAGACTCGTAGTTGATTCGCTGGATGAGGATTTGGAACAATCTGATGGTAATGGAGATGAGGATGCACGGTAGGCATGGAGGGACACCAACACTGAATTGGAAAAGAGCCACAATGGTTGTGACAAGTGTCACCGCCTGATTACGTTCTAATTACAATTAACTAAACAACACTTAATCAGAAAAAAACTAATCGTGTGAGATTTCATATCTCTCTCTTCCTTTTACACTCTCTCATTTGCTCTTTCTTCAGAGCTCGCCTGAGAAGATGCTTCCGCCACGCCAAAGATCGCCTCACTACGACGGCAGCGGCAACGACACTGAGATCAGCTCTGATCTTTAATTTTCTTTCATCATTCTCTTTGTCTCATCCTTCTCGTTACTAATCTATGGTTGATTATTGCAGGAAACAAAGGATTTCGTATAGATCTAAAAGGGAAGATTGAAACCCTAACTGTTCAGAAATGATGAAACTCGATGATGCTGACGAGATATTCAACGAAAATGAAAGGAAGACGATCGCGATGAACGAATCTGTAAGCTTCTCCTTCGATTGAGGCTTCTTCCAGTAATATCTTTCTAATCTTACCTTCTCTCTCGTCTTCTCAAACTCCTCTTCTCTCTTAAATATGAAGGGTTTGTGCATTAGGAAAATGATGATAATTATTAGGGTTTCAGCATGAACCTGCTATGGTTTTGTGATATATGTAAATGGAACTTGATTTCTGAAAAACATGTTTTATGGTTTTTGGAGATGAATTTTATGGATATTTTTCTATGATTCTTCAAGAAATTGGAGAATGATAAATTAACCGTGTGAAATTATGTTATGTAGCTCGCTGATTCAGACGGTTAGATCTTGAGACAATCTTGGCCTTAGATCCTGAAAGTTTGTTACAAGGATTGGAGGGTGAGGGTCGATTTTGAGTTTTAGCTTGCTTGATAAGTTTTGTTGAGTTGTAATTGAATTTTTGCCTCTGATTTTTAGTAACAGACCTGCTTGTAATTGTTTTTTGCTTAACATTGATATGTTATTTCTGTTTCGTTAAACTTTTGAGATGTGAATTTCTGAT